GGCACTAGAATAAGCCCTGCCTTCCCTGCTGGCTGGAGGGAAGATGAGTTGAGGAGGGTGTGGCCAGGCCCCAGCCTGATGAATATGATTGGGGAGGGACTCAAACCCCCACCCTGGCCTGCAGAGACCCCAGCCAAGGTCTGCCCAGCTTTTCCCCCTGTTCATGGCTCAGCACAGTCACTCTCCGGGTAGTAGAAGGAGCTGCTGGGCAGGAGTTGCTCCCTCAGCTGCATGTTCAGCTCAGCTTGGCTCTGCCCCGGGCTAGCGAGGACATATTTGAGCTTCCCGCCCCCACTCGCAGCCTGGGTCCCTCTGCTTGGTGGGGCTCATGTCCAGGATGGAGCCATTGCTATTGCAATCCCTCTGTGTATATCCCCACCTGGGCTTGGGGCCATTTTGCTCTCCCCCTCCCCCTGATCTGGCCTTTGCTTCTGGGCTGCCCAAATGAAACCCTAGCCCCGGCAGCTGGAAAGGCAGTGGGATTTCCCCCTGGCTGGAAGCAGGGCTGAGCTGAGCCAGGAGCAGGGGGAAACGCTGGGCAGATCCTGGCTGGGGTCTCTGCTGGTGGGATAGGGGAGGCAGGAGGTTTAATCCCTCTCTGCCTGAGCCTGCTGTCCCATGCCTCTGCCCCCTCCACTCCAGTGGGGAAAAGCCTGGCAGGAGCTGCAAAGCATGCTAGGGGACTGTGATTTAACTTGAGCCAGGAAGGGATCTGAGACAGAAGTTTCATAAACTGGTTTGACTTAAATCAGTTAAGTCTAATACTACATTCAACCAGGTTTTTCCTAAACTAGTTTTGGCCATTTTGAAACTGGTTTACATGCACTGAATTTATGTTCTATTACAGGTTTCAACCAATTTCTGATCGCTTAAATTGGTTTTTATGTGTAGCTTCTGTCCCTAGCCCGTATGTTCAGGGGAAAGTATTGGTGGGGCCTTCTATCATTACAGCAGGTAGTATGGATTATTTTTCCTCTTAGAATGAGACTGTTATAGGCAAGACTCAGATCCTCGGCTAGTTTAAACTGACCAAGCTTCTTTCACCTGGGAGCAACTGTACTGCTTTATACTGGCTAAGGATCTGACCCAGGAATTTTGAGCATTATGAAACCTTGATTTTTATCAGGTCATATGATGTGGTCTCCCACAACATTCTTGTAAGCAAGCTAAGGACATATGGATTGGATAATTAGCCTGTCAAGTGGATAGAAAACTGGCTGGATCATCGGGCTCAAAGGGTAGAAATCAATGGCTCGATGTCTAGTTGGCAGCCAGTAGCAAGTGGAGTGCCCCAGGGGTCAGTCCTGTGGCCGGCTTTGTTCAATATCTTCTTCAACCTGGAAGATGGGATGGAGTAGTAGATATGCTGGCGAGCAGAGCTAGGATTCAGAGAGACCTAGACAAATTGGAGGACTGAACTAAAAGAAACGTCATGAGGTTCAATAAGGACAAGTGCAAAGTCCTGCACTTAGGACAGAAAAATCCCATGCACCAGTAAGGGATTGGGGTTGACTGGCTGGGCAGCAGCTCTGCAGAAAAGGCCCTGGGGGTGACAGTGGACAATATGCTGCATAAGAGCAAACAGTGTGTCCTTGTTGCAAAGAGAAGGGTAACAGCATACCGGGCTGCATTGGTAGAAGTGCTGTCAGCAGATTGAGGGTAGTGATTATTCCCCTCTAAGCACTGGTGAGGCCACATCTGGAGTACTGTGTTCAGTTTTGGGGTTCCCACTACAAAAAGGATGAAGACAAACTGGAGAGCGTCCAGCGGAGGGCAACAAAAATGGTTAGGGGGCTGGGGCACATGATTTGTGAGAACAGACTGAGGGAACTGGCTTTAGTCTGGAGAACACAGAGGGTGCAGCTGGACTGTTCTCAGTGGTGGCAAAGGACTGAACAAGGAGGAGCGGTCTCAAGTTGCAGCAAGGGAAGTTTAAGTTCGATATTAGGAAAAGCTTTCTCATGAGGAGTGTAGTAAAGCACAGGAACAAGTTACCCAGAGAAGTTGTGGAATCTCCATCCTTGGAGGTTTTCAAAACCTGGCCAGACAAAGCCTTGGCTGGGATGATCTAGTTGGGGCTGGTCCTGCTTTGAGCAGGGGGTTGGAACAGATATGACCTCCTGAGGTCCCCCTCAACCCTCATTTTCTGTGATTCTATGATTCTGAGAGGAGCGGGGATGTAGGCTGACAATTTCACCCCGAGAGCTTGAGGAATTTGGAAAACAAAACACTACCTCAGTTTGGCTTTTCTATTCCAGTTTTCTCTGGCTCAAGCTGCATTTTTTTTGGAGGCAAATGGAAATGGGTATTTCCTGAGACCCAAGTTCTTTCGTGTTGAAGAGCAAGCAGATAATAGAGCAGAGGCAGTAGTCCCTCTTCTTGTAGGGTGCCCTGCCAGTGTCTGAAATTCTGGCCTGCAAAGGTCAACATCTGAGAAATAGGAGCCAAGGTGCAGGCTTCAAGTCCAGTTCTAGATTTCTCCTATATATAGCAGAAATTTCCAGAGACTAACAACAGGGTCAGATTAGAGGCTTGATTGATGGGATCTAACCAGAAGCTATTATTCTGGGACCACTTTTAAAACACCACCTAGTTTTGAGCCCACCGTTCCAGGAGTAAGAGATTTCTTTTTATGTCCTTACCACCTAGTATTGCCTGAGTGACTGCCTTTGGCATGGACGCTCCTTTGCTCTTTATGTTTTAACCTTATAAAAATGAAGGATTAACTCTGATTTGAGCAATACTTTAAATATGTCAATGACATAAGAAGTTAAACTGTCTTATCACTTTATAATGGACAAAGAAAACAAGACATCTGTACTATGGAAGTGATTGTGGAGGTTATTTTTCTAAATTACAAATACTGCTACATTTCAGCTCTAGTTTCCTTTACATATATCTTTATAAAAATAAAATAAAGAAAAAATATATTTCTTATACACACACACACACGCACACACATATGCTAGAAGAATGATAGCTATAAAGAAAAAATTTATTTATTATATACATATACATGCACGCATACACATATGCTAGAAGAATGATAGCTATAAAATATATTTATTATACACATACATACACATGCATACACATATGCTAGAAAAATGATAGCTATAAAGAAAAAATATATTTATTATATACACACATGCTAGAAGAATGCAGGGGTATATCCTGATAAAGGTAATGTCTACATTTCAAGCTTTATTTTCCTGGGCCCCTCTTTTCCATTTGAAGTGAGTTAGAATACACTTAGCTTTTTGTTTTTCAAGCAAACACTGTTTGTTCATCCTAAGAAAACATAGTTTGGGTAAATAGAAGTATTTACATATGGAGAACTGGAACTCCTACTAAGATGCAGATTGTGCTGCAGGGAAGATAGTTTGTACTTTTCTTTCCCCTTCCCTTTTCTTTCTTGACAGTCAGTTAATAAAGACTCAACAATAAGCAGCTGCCTGTGATGTCATTGGGACTTTGTCCACAGAGCTTGTATTTACAAGTAGAGAGAAACTACATAACAGCAGAAAAACCAACTACCAGCAAACTTCATGTCTGCAGTTACTGTAGGGCTTCAGTAGTGCTGTGGATGGGCTAGCAAGCTAACTCTGCTCTTCTAACCACAGATTTTTAAAGGTTGGTAAATAAACCCTGGCTAAATGCAAGAGAATTTTTGGACTGCGAGGACTACTTAAGGTTCTGATTTCTCTAGGACTGTGGCATGTTTTCACTGAACAACTGCAAGTAAGACTTTCGCTGTTTCAGTGTTTTTTCTTATTTGCAAAGGTCATTTTCTTTAAAAAAAAAAAAAAAATGTTTGTTTTGGTGTTACTGCTACTTTAATTAAAATGAAATCACAAATGGTAAGTATGTAACTCCTAGGGGTGCTTTCATTTGAAGTCAGACATTTGAATGTGTTTTGAGTGAGGGCAACAGGAAAAATGAAAAGCTCATTCAGAATTTTGTTTTCTTATGTTTATGTTGAACTTAATTTTTCAGTATAGTAATCTAAGTGTAATTTCAGGCTCCCTAAAAATG